GTAACAGAGAGAGATTCCGTCTCCAAAACAAAACCAAACAACAACAAAAAAACCTCCATGCTGAGATCATGTTAAATAAGTCTCTATCAACTGTGTATTCTCCCCCAACTCCTTTGACCTCCCACTCCGACTATGTGGCCAGTGGTTGATACTCATGCCTGCAGGAAGAGAGGAGATGTAGTTTTACCTAGGGCAGTTACTCCAAAAAACAATAATTCCAGTAGAATGTGATTAGCAATGTTAAAGACACTAAATGGCCATGGTGAATGTTACTGAAAACCACTTGTAAGGCAGGCAGCAGTGTCAACAACCACAGGGTAGAAACTTCCCATATTTGAAGCTTTGTTCAGGATGGTGTCACAGCCTTTACTTTACACTGTCACCGGGCACGGTGGCTCATGCCACCCAGCACTTTGCAAGTCCCAGGCAGGTGGACCACTCCAGTTTGAGACCAGCCTGGACAACATGGTGAAACCCCATCTCTACTAAAAATACTAAAATTGGCTGGGCATGGTGGTGTACATCTGTAATCCCAGCTACTTGGGAGGCTGAGGCAGGAGAACTGCTTGAACCCAAAAGTCGGAAGTTGCAGTGAGCCGAGTTCGTGCCACTGCACTCCAGCCTGGGTGACAGAGCAAGACTCAATCTCAAAAAATAAAAATAAAAGACATTGTCTAGAAGCATGTCTCAGAAAGAAGAGGACCCCAGAAGATTCCACCATGTGTTCAGGAACCTTCCTGCCTCTCTACCAACTTTCTGAAAAATCAAGTTAATTTATTTTTAAGCTGCCTTTTCCTATTAGGACAGAAATAACTCATGGATGGCCACTAAATCTGTGGCTTCCACTCTATCAACAAAAATGAGAGGAACATCTCTGGGCTCAGAGTTGTGATCTACTGACATTCATTCCACAAACTTTCATAGTGCCATGTTGTGCCCAGGCCATATTCTATGTTGTGCCCAGGCCATGTAGCCAGCCCAGAAAGCGAAAGATCTCTGCCGACATGGACCCCAGACTGCTAAGTGTACTTCTGATTCACCAAGGTCCTCAAGATGCCCCTTTTCTTATTCATTCCTCAGCCCACCGAGTGCATACTAGAAAATTAACCAGGCAGCTAAGTTTCTCCCTTCAAAGAGCCTATGGGTTACATAAAGAAGGGTATAAGAGCAGTACATCAATAACTAGACACGAGGTGAGCAATCAGAGGTGCAGTGTTACAAACCAGGAGGAAAGATCTCGTATATTTCCCCACCCACCCCCACAACCCTGCCACCAAACCCAGCAGTCCTAACCTAGACCCTGAATAAGATTGCTCTTACCACCTCCTCACTCATGGCTTCCAGAAAAAGCAGGCCACGTGGCTTCAGGGCAATTTCAGCAGTTCGTCTAGGTATTAAAAACTTTTTCTCCTAAACCAACTTGGTCCCTTGGTCAAATCTGGGCTTTTCTTTTGACTCCTAGTCTTCTAATACAGCATTTTAGCCAGAAAGTCAATTTAAACATATTTGAGATTTAAACATATCTGGGTCCTGAGGAACTATGGGAAAGCAGGGAGTTTTCCTTATTTCCAAATTTTTATAAATCTTGAGAGTTTGCAAATTGAACCACAGGAAACATGAGTTACACCAAAACTCTTAAAATGGCCCAAAATGAGGATTTTTGAATTCTTGATGAATCCCAGGGAAATAGTTGACAGTTTAGCTTCTTGCTCCAGCTTTCCTGTATAACTATGTTTCTCAAGCAGGGATGAGACTTTGACTCCAAGGGGACATTTGAAAATGTATGGAGATGTTTTTGATTGTCACACCTGAGATGCAACTGGCCTCTAGCGGGTAGAGACCAGCAACACTGCGGTACATCCTGTAATGCATAGGACAGGCTCCCCAGAACGAATTATCCTGCTCAAAACATGTCAATAGTGCTGAGATCGAGAAACTCATTTAAGGGCTTGCTATCTATTTCCCTAACTCTAGAGACAGGCAGATTTCTAAATCTAAAGATGTGTACCTGAAGAGTTGTTATAGAAATCTCTTTGCTTTGTGTTTTGTTGTTGTTTTGTTTAGTTTTTGGCTAGGGGGTGGGATTTTTCCCCTACTTATCTACTCTTGAAGAGGATATTACAGCATTTGGGAGAGAGCATAAGAACATTAGTTAATAGGGCGTTGGGATCCTAATAACCCCAACTTTGGAAGGGAAAAGAAAATGTTTTTAAATTGCCTTTCCCCCTTCCTCTTTACTTGCAAAAGGGCTTCCTGACCCCCTCCCTCTGGTAGATGCTATCTTAGGACAATTACCTTCCCACCAGCCCACCCTAACCCCAGGGTGCCCAACCCCAGCAGCCAAAGAATGGGAAGTTTTGTTAAAGATTTCTTACTCTCTGCTTCGGGAACACTTTCCTCCCCCAGTAAACAATTTATCCTGTGTTTACTAAATTCCTTTACCATTACATTTCCAGAGAGTCATTTCTAACCACAAGTGCAGAAGGGCCAGGCGCGGTGGCTCACGCCTGTAATCCCAGCATTTTTGGAGGCCGAGGCAGGCAGATCACCTGAGGTCGGGAGTTCAAGACCAGCCTGACCAACATGCAGAAACCCCGACTCTACTAAAAATACAAAAAATTAGCCGGGCATAGTGGCACATGCCTGTAATCCCAGCTACTCGGGAGGCTGAGGCAGGAGAATCGCTTGACCTGGGAGGTGAAGGTTGCTGTGAGCAGAGAGCGTGCCATTGCACTCCAGCCTGGGCAACAAGAGCCAAACTCCATCTCAAAAAAGCCAAAAACCAAAAAACAAAAAACAAGTGCAAAGACCGGAATCACTAATCTAACTTACCGCTAAGGTGGAGTTGGAGGACCCCTGACCCAAGCCCTGCCGGCATGCTACCATTATCAGAGCTACCAGGTAAAAGTTCAGGGAATCGCCACCCATCTTTGTGCTTTCTGAGTAGAATGGGAAGAGCTGGGGATTAGAGAGACAAATTCTTAGTTCTCTTCCAGCTCAGCTCCCTCTTGACAACTTACTCAACTGTGGGTTCCTGGATGTTCCAAGAGCCTAAAATCCACAGTATTTCCAAGCCAGTACATCTGACCCCGTAGTGTAGACTCAATGCATGCTCTATGCCATCCAATAGTTTTCCAATTGCTCTAGATCCTGAGGTGAAGCCTGCTAGGCCCAAGTCCCCATTTGCTCAAAAAACAAAACCAAACAAAAAACCACCTTCCTTGGGGTATGTATATCACCAAGGAACCCAAAAGATGAGGGGATACGTTCCCCTCAGCCCTTCCCTATCAGGCAGCCTTTGGATGGGAGATGAGGAAACGTTGGGTCTGACTCTTTTATTCCAGCCTCCCAAAGTTGGGGGAGCTGTCCAGTCCCCAGACCAGGAAAGATTTTAATCTCTTTGTGATCAGATAAATGGGAGAGTGGGGGAGGCTTGCTACCCTGCTGAGGAGGGCCATTCAAAGCTGGTTCCTGTAATAAAGTGATTTAATAGATCTAAAGAGGCCAATTCCCTTCTTTCTCCCACAATTACTTCCTGTGGGTTATCATTCACATATGTAAATGATACAGAGAAGGGAGAAAAGCCACCAGTGGGAAACTAGCTGTCTAATGGGGGGTTGGGGGGGATCAGGATGCTGCAAGGGGTCAGCTCAGTATCCTGCTACAGGTCCTCTTGGCAGATGTTCAAGTAGCCCACTGACCCCATGGCCCCAGCACTAAGTAGTGGCTCCCCATCTCTCTGCATCTATTCCCCTGGTTTGTTCCTCACTGAAGGCTGTGCTCAAAGATGTCCCTGCTGCCTCCAACTAGTCCATCCAGCATCTCCCTTCCCCACCCCTCCCCCCAAGAATGCCATCCCTCAGGCTCCAGCCCTTAATCCCCACATCCTCCTTTCCCCTCCCCCACACCTCCTAAAGCCAACCTCCCTTAAGTAACCCCTCCCTGCCCGGCCTGGGTGTCAACCTACACGATCTGGGATTAGCAATTTCTTCTTTCCAGATCCAGCCGCAAACCTCCAAAGATGGAAGGGCCACAGGCAGCAAGCAACTTCCTTTCCATGGTCTTTATGGGTAGCTGGTGGCCCAGGACCACCAGAATGCCTCTAGGATATTCAGGAAGGGGAAGCCTGGGAGGAGGGAGACCTGAAGTCTCTGGCTTCTTGTTTGAGGCCAGGAATGTTGAGACAGCAATCAATGGCTGTCTGGGGCCATAAATGCCAAGCGGAGAATAGGTCCAGAGGCCAGCCTCCCTCCACCCCCTGCCCTGCGACACTGAATTTCACCCCCTACTGTGCTGCCCTGCTTTAACTGAGAACTTGGGGTTGCGACCTATCCACTTCCCTCCCAGCCTGGCCCAGGAATGTAAGGAAGGCCAGGGCTCCTTGGGTTTTCCTTCTTCACGGGAAGTGGACAGCAAAGACCCCAGTCCTGAGCTTACAAGCTCCCATGTGGATCCTTCAGGGATCGGCCAAACCCAGTTTTTAGTGACCAGCCAGGTGAGGTCTGCATTAAAAAGGGGATGTGGCTGACTTCTCGGCTTTATGCCCCTTGGGTCCAGTAGCCAGTTGCCCTCACTCTCTCCCGCCTTCTGAGCTCCATTCAGACGTTGGAGGCGCTGGGCGCCCGGCTCAGGCCCGGCATGTGCTTCCCTGGCCGGCCTGCTCGCCCTCCCCCCACCGGCAAGCACAATACAACCTTAGTTTCTGCCACATGGGGTCACCTCCCTGCCCCCTACCCCTTCCCAGGGGAAAGAGGTAATAGACACGTGGTGAGCCGGAGGGGTTCCCGGAAGGGGGCGGGGGTGCTGATAATTGGTGCTGCCTCCAACTACTCCCCCCGAGATAGTTAACAGGGACTCAGAATTGGGGTGCCGAAGCAAAGACAGGGACGCATAATGAGGGCTCCCGAAGGCCCTCAATTCAACAGCGAACCCGGAGCCCACCCGTGGATACGTGCACCTAGACGCCCTTCCCTGGACAAAGTTACCGCAATCAGTCTCACCTGGTGCACAAAGACGTCCACTGGGGGGTCGAGCGCGACCCCAGCGCGGGCGGTCATGGACAGGAAGCCGAACCCCATGCGCACGTTGAACCACTTACAGATGCCCGCACCGTGCAGCAGCTGAGGCTCGTCCGCCGCCCGGGCCGCGTCCTCCGGCGCCTCCTCGGGTGCCTCTTCTGCCGCCTTGGCGCAGCCACCTAGAGAGAGGGAGGGCCAGGCACTCAGCTAGGGGGCACGGAATCGGAAGGCGGTCTCGGGCTCCAGGCAGGGAGACCCGAGTGTCCAACCCCATAAGTGGACAGTCAGGAGGGGGCAGCTACCAAGGAACAGAAGAAACCTATCCCGGTCGCCTCCCGCGCTCCCCTAGCGTACACCGGGACAGTGGTGCCCCGAAAGTTTGCTCCTCTTCCCACAATGCGTTTCCCGGAGACTCATGGCGAGACAAACCTCTCCCCTCCATCCACCCACGTAGTCTGGCGCGCACGCCACTGGAACACCAAGGTTCCTTGCTCCAGAGACGGCCCTATGAAGAAGGAGGCCGCACCGTCTTGGGGTCCTTTGGGCAGCCTTGGAGTCAGTTCTCCACCTTCCTTCTACGTGGCTCCTGGCCGCCCCTGCCTCCTAAGGTGTCCCAGCTAAGTCCCGAGCTCGAACCTGCAAACTGCTGGTTGGACACTGAGCCCATGGTCGTCGGCTGAGCCCGTGGCCCCGGGCCCCTGGTCGGGCGGCTGCTGGCCCCGGAGAAGTCCGAAGGCAAAGGGGTGGTTCGGAGAAGAGGCTGCTACATCTTCCCCCGCACAATAGCGGTGGGAGGGCCCACGGCTTTTCAAAGGCTCCCAAATTCTAAAAGACAATGACCCAACCCCCCGCGGGCAGCCCCCTCCCCTCCCCTCCCTCTCCTTTCCCCTCCCTTTCCCTCCAGCTCCAGCTCCGGCCCTCCCCCACTGCTCTGGTCTCTGACACCTCTGGGGTGTCCCTTCTCAGAACCTTGAGGTTTGACACCCCCTCCCCACACACACATCTGGAGTTGGGGCTGTCTGCTCTAGAAGGCTTGAGTACCCCGGAATTTGGGATCCTGCATTTTGGACTCAATAGGGGTCCCCAAAGCAGATACAGGTGGGGGACCTGGTGGGGGGGGGGTAGTTTTAAAACCACGTGACTGCTCACACACACACACACACACACACACACACACAAACACACACACCACCCCCACCCCCCGCGCAGATAATTATACATTCCAGAGAGTTGGGGGAGGGAGGTGTGAGCCTGGCAGCGCTGGCCAATCAGAAACACAAACCACCTGTCAAGGGAGAAATGAATGGGCCCTCCCCCTCCCCCAGCTCTTGAGCGCCCCTCCCCCTCTCTTCCCCCTCAGGCCTCTGAGCTGACCCGGCTGCTTGGCGCTGACCCGTTCTCACCCCCCACCCCCGTGTGCTTAGATAGACCTGGAGTTCTGGACACTGGGAAGCCCGGGATGGGGGAGCAGGGGGGAGAGGCTGGGGACACACAGGGCTGGTCTGTCCTGACCAAAGCGCTGCCTTCCAAAGTCTGTCTGCCTCTGACTACATCTGAATGTCTGCCTCCCAGAGTTTCTGACACAGAGTTTTTCTGGGCCTCCCCCAGTTAGAAAAGAGAAAGTGCTCTTAACTGATTCGTTGTAAATAATTCTTCCCTCTTTCCTCCCTCCAAACCTGTGTGTCTAAAGTTAGCCCCAGGTAAGCTCCCTGAAGAGCAGGAGGAACCCAAAGAGTCTTGAAGCTGTTTCTCCGCCAGCTGCCTTCTCGTCCCACCCCCACCCCATCCCCATCCACTGCTGAGAGAGGGACTGGGTGGGCTGGTGGGTAGAGGTACTTCCTCTGTACTCCTCACACTCTTAGATTCCCAGGCCCTCCTTATGCGCTCCCATCCCCATAGTGGGGTTAGTGGAGGAACTGGACTGGGGGGCCTCCTCATTTGAAGAGGTAGCCTCCCCTTCTAGGAGATAAAGAGGGCTGGCTAGTGGGGGTGGCTACTGCCCTGGTCGGAGATGGACAATGGCCCGGGGCTCCGTGCACGGCCCTGGCCCTGCCCCTTCACTTCCGGTGCTCAGTTCAAACTGGACAATGCCAGCTCCGGCCAGTTCCCTTCCCCCACCACTACAACCCATTTAAAGGGACAGAGCCTGCTTTCGGGGGCATCCGCTTGCTCTGAATTCAATCTTCTCCACCGAGTGTGCAGAACCTTTTGGGCTTCTCACGCTGTGGCTCTGTGTGTGTGTTTGTGTGTGTGTGTGTGCACGTGCGGATGTGGGCACATGTGTATTTCAGAGAGACCGGATGAGTGGGGGTAGGGAAGGGGAAGATGGGAAGGAAAGCAAGAGACTGCAGAAATTATCTCCTACGAGGTGCTCTCCAAGAAACGAAAACTTGAGCATGAGGAATGGGAGGTGGGACTTCGTGGGATAAAAAGGACAAGTGTGGCCCTTTGCTACTCCGCCTAAAAAAATACATATTGTTAACAAATATTGTTAGCAGTGCCCCACTCCCAACTGAGGACTCTAATTAGAATTTTCAAGAGTTCTTCTAGTACATCAGCCAGAGCCATTTTTATTTACATAATCCTCCCCTCCCAAAAGTCTTATCTCCCGCTGTTAGTGGCGCCCTTAAAATATATTCGCTCCCTGTACCTCTGTTCCTAAGACTCAGGAGCAGGTGGCTGAGGTCTGGGAGAAGAAAAGGGAGGGAAAGGGGAGTTGAACTCTCTAGTTTCGCTTGGTGGGTTCTCAAGTGATGCGAATTCGGTTACCCGGGATTGAGCGGCCTGCTTCTCTGTCCAGGGTCCTGAGGGCTTCGGCAGCTCTGTCCACGGTGCTGAATTGAGTCACGCTGTCTTGGTTCCCAGCTCACAGTTTTGAGAATACCTTCTTGAGTTCCCACCTCCAAGTCTTTCCCAGAAAACCTGATTTTTCTCAATGCAGGTTCCCGCTCTGGTAACACCGACACATTTCAGATGAATGAAGACTTTTTTATTTTTTGAGACGGAGTCTTGTGTTGCCCAGGCTGGAGTGCAGTGGCACTATGTCTGCTCATGGCAAGTCCGCCTCCCAGGTTCCAGCAACTCTCCTGCCTCAGCCTCCCGAGTAACTGGGATTACAGGCACGTGCTACCACGCCTGGCCAATTTTTGTATTTTTATAGAGGTGGGGTTTTACCATGTTGGCCAGGCTGGTCTTGAACTCCTGACTTCAAGTGATCCGCCCACCTCGGCCTCCCAAAGTACTGGGATTATAGGCGTGAGTCAGCGCACCCGGCCTAAGAGACTTTTTTTTTTTTTTTTTTTTTTTTTTTTTTTTTTTTTTTTGAGATGGAGTCTCGCCCGTGGCCCAGGCTGGAGTGCAGTGCGCTATCTTGGCTCACTGCAAACTCTGCCTCCCAGATTCACGCCACTCTCCTACCTCAGCCTTCGGAGTAGCTGGGACTACAGGTGCCCACCACCGGGCCCGGCTAGTTTTTTGTATTTTTTAGTAAAGACGGGGTTTCACCGTGTTAGCCAGGATGGTCTCGATCTCCTGACCGCGTGATCTGCCCGCCTTGGCCTCCCAAAGTGCTGGGATTACAGGCGTGAGCCACCACGCCCCAGCCAAGAGATTTTTAGAATGCTAAAGAGATGGCATTTTCTACTGGGTGTGGTGGCTCACGCCTGTAATCCCAGCACTTCGTGGGGCCAAGGTGAGAGGATTGCTTGAGGCCAGGAGTTAGAGACCAGTCTAGGCAACATGATGAAACCCCATTTCTACAAAAAATACAAAAATTAACCGAATGTGGTGACGCATGCCAGCTACTTGGGAGGCTGAGGTGGGAGGATCGCTTGAGCCCAAGAGGCCGAGGTTGCAGTGAGGAGATAGTGCCATTGCACTCCAGCCTGGGTGACAGACTCATCCAGGCCTTGTCTCAGAGAGAGAGAGAGAGAGAGAGAGAGATTTCCAGTAGTATATGATTTTGTGAGAGTGATGCAGGTATCTCAAACTCTTGTTCAGAAAAATGGGAAACCTACTTCCTCATATTATGACTGTAAAGGGTTAGGAAAGAAGAGATAATATTTTTTGAGTCGAAGAAGATCAAAGTAGAAGAAAAACTAATCTCGGTCTTTAAGTTATTTTATTTTTTTGAGACAGAGCCTCACTCTACTGCCCAGGCTGGGGTGCAGTGGCACAATCTTGGCTCACCGCAACCTCTGCCTCCCAGGTTCAAGCGATTCTCCTGCCTCAGCCTCCTGAGTAGCTGGGATTACTGTATTCCTCTGTTTCTTCCTCTGTCCTATGGGAATAATGAGAATACTGATGTCTCAGAGATATTGTGAGGATGAAGTTAGATCATGTAGGCAAAGCTTTTGAAACAGTTCCTGACATGTAGTTAGTTGGTTTTGTTTGTTTGTTTGTTTTTTGAGACAGAGTCTTACTCTGTCACCCGGGCTAGAGTGCAATGGTGTGATCTCAGCTCACTGCAACCTCTGTGTCCCGGGTTCAAGCGATTCTCCTGCCTCAGCCTCCCAAGTATCTGGGATTACAGGTGCCTGCCACCATGCCCGGCTAATTTTTGTATTTTTAGTAGAGACAAGGTTTCACCACATTGGCCAGGGTGGTGTCGAGCTTCTGACCTCGTGATCCACCCACCTCGGACTCCCAAAGTGCTGGGATTACAGGTGTGAGCCACCATGCTCAGCCAACATATAAAATGTAGTACACACTAAGTAGCATGAGGATATACAAAAGTAAAAAAGGAAAGAAAAAATATTCCCTGGCTTCTGAGAAGTTATAGTCTAGTAAGGAAGACAAGACTGAAATAGCTGAGTGTTGTAGGTTTCTTGGGTACTGGTTTCTGAGAGTAATAATATCTAGGTAAAAGGAGGGTAAATGTACTCTTTAGAGAAGACAAGGGTGTCCAGTATCAACACAAAGAACATCCCTTTCTTTAAGGCATTTTGCTAAGTTCCTTTTATGCAGGTTCATAACTTCATAAAAGAGCTGCAAGAGGTCTTAGTAATAATAATAATTCATCCAACAATTGACAAATATTTGTTGAGCACTTCTTCCTTGACAGACATTGTTCTAATTGTTAAGAATACATCAAAGCGCAATACAAACAAAAATTCCTGCCTTTGTGGAATGGGCATTCTGCTAGATAATAATAATAACAACAGGCCGGGCGCGGTGGCTCACGCCTGTAATCCCAGAACTTTGGGAGGCTGAGACGGGTGGATCACGAGGTCAGGAGATCGAGACCATCCTGGCTAACACAGTGAAACCCCGTCTCTACTAAAAAAATACAAAAATTAGCTGGGCGTGGTGGCTGGCGCCTGTAGTCCCAGCTACTCGGGAGGCTGAGGCAGGAGAATGGCGCGAACCTGGGAGGCGGAGCTTGCAGTGAGTAGAGATCGCGCCACTGCACTCCAGCCTGGGTGACAGAGCGAGACTCCATCTCAAAAAATAAAAAAAATAAAAAATAAAAATAAAAAAATAATAATAACAACATCCAGCATTTATCAGGAATACAGGCACATTTTTAAAATCTCATTCAAGGCCGGGCGCGGTGGCTCAAGCCTGTAATCCCAGCACTTTGGGAGGCCGAGATGGGCAGATCACGAGGTCAGGAGTTCGAGACCATCCTGGCTAACACGGTGAAACCCCGACTCTACTAAAAAATACAAAAAGCTAGCCGGGCGACGTGGCTGGTGCCTGTAGTCCCAGCTACTCGGGAGGCTGAGGCAGGAGAATGGCG